ACGGATTACTTCATTTGGGATTTAAAGGGAAGGAAGGCAAATTTTTAGTCCAGTTCAGATTCCTGGAACGTAGCTTAGGCACCCTTCTTTCTCCTTCACTTGGATTTTACTAGGAATCAGAGACTCATTTCATCGGTCCCCCAAAAAGCATATGGTGGAATACAAATATTGCTGAATAATGAACATTTCCTCCCAAACTTGATATATTATTCTTGTTTTTAGAACTTTTAAAAATTATTTGTACCACTCATATCTCCATTGATTATAGATATTTGAAAGTGATTCCGCAGAGATCCCTTGCTATCCAAATCTAGTTGATTCCGAAATTCACATCTCAAATTAGCTATCTGAATCTATTTGGTTCCTGAGTTTCTGACAGTGAGTGACGAGAGTTTGGATGATGAGGGATTTGTATGAAAATTTCTCTGCATCTGTTCCGTTCTTCAGCTCGGATAGTGAGAGTTCAGAAGGCAAGGGATACCTGCATTTGCTCAGTTATCCTCCTAGCATGTTTGTGAAAGACGCTTTTGTCCATTTTTAGATCAGGAAATTGAAACATTTTCTGCCTCCCATTAAGTATGTACACATGGCACAGAGGACAGAGGTGACAGAAGGCAGCAAGTGTCTTGTTCTAACAAAATCACGTACTGGGACAAATTTCCCAAGTTTAGAAATAAAGTGTGCCAAGTAAAGGGCAACTTTTCTTTTCCTCACTAAGGCACCATACGGGCTAGTGATGTCCCTGCAGATGAAGATTTATGGTCCTCTAACTGGGACTTCACCTGAGTAGTGGTTTAGCCCAAATGCCTCTCTCTCTCTCCCCAGACGGCTGGTCTCTTTGTGAGGAGGCATCAAGCAGTTGTTGGAACTGCCATGAAGAAAAGTGAAACCCTTCTCATGGGTTTTCTGAGAATTGCTGCAGCATCAACATTTGTGTCTCCCATTTCCTTTCAGGGATCTCCGGGACTAGTGGGACCTATAGGGAGCATTGGAAGACCTGGACTTGTGGGCAAAAAAGTAAGTGTTACTATAACTATTGCCCTGAGATCGTCTTTAAACCTTAAACCAAAAATATCCCCTGAAGTCTTCTTAAAACCAAACAATAGTTTTGCTTAACTAGTAAAAAAATGTCTGCCTTGAGCATTATGGTCTTTTAAGAACTATCTATATGGGATCAAATTGACAACAGCAACTGGAATGATTAGATGGGAATCTTAGGCAGCAGTGAGTTTATGTTAATGGGGGAAGAACAACTCAGAAAAGAAGGGTGAGAATGGTTAACAACTCAAAGTATGTTGCCTGTGTCACTGCATTGTACATGTAGAAATTGTTGAATTGGTTTTGCTGTGTATATTCCCAACAACAACAACAAAATAAATAAAATTAAAAAATAAGATACTGAGAGCAAAGTATCTCCATTCTCTTCCTGATTTTCATGTTACTTCCTCGCATGATTGAATCCAGGCACTATCAATAGGCCATCATCTTTCTGCTAATACGTTCTCTTCCTTCATTGCACAAAGAATTTCTAACTGTTCACTTCTTTCATAAAACTGCCCCCATTTTACAAGAAGAGACACAGTAATCTCAACCATCATGAAACAACTCTGAAAATCTCTTCAGCTGCCTGATTTTCTGAATGCATGAATGTACTCGGTGGCAGAGGTGCTACAGAGCCCAGATCTTCTTTTTGTGCATCCAGTTCTCTAACTCGACCTGTCTCTTGTGGACATTGTCGGAGAGCAAACCATTGGCCTTACTCCCCCTGCTTAAAACCTTACTGTCGCTCCCCTACACACCCAGAGCCAGCTTCATGGGCCTGTGATATAGGACCCTGAGCTTAGAAGGACCTTGTAGCCAGTTTAATATTCTGCTGTCACCTTCTTGAAATTTTTAATAATTTTTGAACTAGTTACCCCAAATTTTCATTTTGCACTGACCCTACCAATTATGTAGCTGGTCTTGCCTTCCCCATTGCCCTCAAGAAAATCTCCAAACTTTGAAGTAGCTTACAAGGCCTCGAGTGGCAATATTCTAGGGGAAACAACACAGGAAGCATAAAAAGAAGATGGAAGGAATACACAGAGTCACTATATCAAAAAGAATTGGTCAACATTCAGCTATTTCAGGAAGTAGCATATGATCAATAATTGATGGTACTGAAGGAAGAAGTCCAAGCTTCATTGAAGGCATTGGTGGCAAACAAGGCTTCAGGAATTGACGGAATACCCATTGAGATGTTTCAACAAACGGATGCAGTGCTGGAAGTGCTCGCTCTTCTATGCCGAGAAATTTGGAAATAGCTACCTGGCCAACTGACTGGAAGAGATCCATGTTTATGCCTATTCCAAAGAAAGGTCATCCAACTGAATGTGGAAATTATCAAACAATATCGTTAATGTCACACACAAGTAAAATTTTGCTGAAGACCATTCAAAAGCGGTTGTAGAAGTACATTGACAAGGAACTGCCAGAAAGTCAAGCTGGATTCAGAAGATGATGTAGAACTAGGGATATCACTACTGATGTCAGATGGATCCTGGCTGAAAGCAGAGAATACCAGAAAGATGTTTACCTGTGTTTTATTGATTATGCAAAGGCATTCGATTGTGTGGATCATAACAAATTATGGATAACATTGTGAAGAATGGGAATTCCAGAACACTTAATCGTGCTCATAGGGAACCTGTACACAGATCAAGAGGCAGTTGTTTGAACAGAACAAGGGGATACTGGGTGGTTTAAAGTCAGGAAGAGTGTCCATCAGGGTTGTATCTTTCACCATACTTATTCAGTTTGCATGCTGAGCAAATAATCCGAGAAGCTGGACTATATGAAGAAGAATGGGGCATTAGGATTGGAGGAAGTCTCATTAACAACCTGTGTTATGCAAATGACACAACCTTGCTGGCTGAAAGTAAAGAGGACTTGAAGCACTTACTGATAAAGATCAAAGACCACAGCTTTCAGTATGAATTACACTTCCCTATAAAGAAAACAAAAGTCTTCACAGCTGGACCAATAAGCAACATCATGATAAATGGAGAAAAGCTTGAAGTTGTCAAGGATTTCATTCTACTTGGATCCACCATCAACACCCACAGAAGCAGCAGTTAAGAAATCAAAAGATGCATTGTATTGGGAAAATCTGCTGCAAAAGACCTCTTTCAAGTGTTCAAAAGCAAAGATGTCAGCTTGAAGACTAAGGTGCGCCTGACCAAAGCCATAGTGTTTTCAGCTGGCTCATATGCATGCGAAAGCTGGACAATCAATAAGGAAGACTGAAGAAGAATCGACGCCTTCAAACTGTGGTGTTGACGAAGAATATTGAATATACCATGGACTGCCAAAAGAATGAATAAACCTGTCTTGGAAGAAGTACAACCGGAATGCTCC